AAGAATTCATGAGATAAAATCACTGACAGCTGTATTGCCAATGCAGCACATGAAGGCTATGTGGGCAAGGAGTACTTATTCATGGAGAGCTCTATTGTTGGAGATGACAGATGGGCTAATGGCTCTACAGGAAATGGAGTTGCAAGATAATGAGACCAGAATTTGGGGTTTGGCAAATTCTGATGATGCTCCAGAGGAAGATGACATGTCTGTATTTGAATAAATGCAAATTTTTGTACATTAATAAATTAGATCGTTGTACATGAAAAAATAACACATACCCTGAAAATAAGTCCTATCACACCTTTTATAGCAAAAATTATTTTCAGGGAAATACGGTAATCGTACTTGTCTCTTTCAACATTCACAAAATTTTTATTATACTGTGTCGTTATATTCTATTTTATTTTTGTTTTTGCTCTCTAAGTGTGACCAATTTATAAATTTTATCCTAAGTCTGCATGTATAGGGATAAACATAGTACATATAAGGTGTGGTAATGTTCATGGCTTCAGACATCTACTTGGCGTCTTGAACTGTATCCCTCACAGGCACACGGACAGTACTATAGACCCATTTCTAACTGTACTTCAGACCCAGTTTGAATATGACCAGTTGTTTTTACTACATTCCCTCGTCACCCTCTAATCCTATGCTCTGTGGTCAAATGTTTAGAAAATGCTACACTAAATAAAGTCAAATGTGTTTTCTTAAAGCAGACCTTCCTGTCTTCACAGAGAGAGGGGGGGAGACTTACTATTAGAGAGAGAGAGGGAGAGAGACTTACTATTATCCTTGTACTTATTTCATCACAAGTCTTTTCTACCTCTGAGAAATATTTAGGAACAATATCCTGGGTAGCACGTTTAAAAATACTCATTTTCTGCTTAGTTCCTCCTTACTTCTCAACTACTCCCTATATCAATTTCAGATTATGCCTAATAGCTATATTAAAATGAGCTAGGGATAAGAGCACACATCTGTAGTCCTCATAGTACAGAAGGCTGAGGCAAGAGCCCACCCTTGGAAACTTAGTGACTTAGTGAGACCATGTTTCAAAACAAAAATATTTAAAGGGCTGGTGATGTAGTTCAGGGCAAAGGCCCAGGAGGGTTCAATCCCCAGTACAACCAAAGAAATTTTTAAAAACTGATTCAACAAATTTTTGCTAAGTATCTAACATGAGCCAAGAACTGGTCTAGGATATAGGAAATCAGGGATGAAGAAAACGAAAAGTGTATTCTTATGGAGCTTCTACTCTTCTAACAGTGGTAAAATAATTTAAAACACACACACACACACACACGGGATGTCAGGTGACAATAAATCAGTGAAGAAAGAAGACAATAAAATGAAAGAGGAAGTTCATAATACTATCTTTGATACATTGATAGAATCAAGAAAAGCTTCTTTAACAAGGAGACATTAAATATTTTAATAAATTCAGGTAACTGTGGATGATTAATTTATTGCCAAATTCAAATACCTCCTTCGCATCCTCATCCTACTGGACCTTCAGCATGATGCAATGTTGATAAATACCTTCAAGCTTTTAAAATCTTTCCTCTTTTGGCTTCCACATTTCTTTCTTCAAAGCCCAAATCATCTAGATCTCTCTCAAGTAAAGCAAGACTTGTCCAGGTTAGCACTTAAGAGTTTCTGGGTAAATCAGGAGCAAGAGGCTTTTTCTAGTATACATTCACTACTGCACAAATCAGTTTTTTCCCACTTTCCTTTCTTGACATCTTTTAAATATCTTTAAAGACTCTTCCCAAACTAATGTCCTGTCTTGATCATAAAGTATATATTTCTGCCAAGTTTCTTTCCTCATTTTGTTAAATATGGTTTATCTTTATTATTGCACTCATGTGAATTGTTTACATGCTGGTAATTACTAAAATGAAAGCTTCAGGTAGATAAGTATTTCCAAATAACTATGAGACTTTTCTACCAGATACTCCCCAAGTGCTAGACAAACACATCTCTAAAGCCAAACTCATTATCTCCAAGCTGATGTTCTTCTTAAAGATATTACATTCCAAAGCTAGACATCTGCTTTATTTTTTATTCCTTTTCTTTCTCAGAAACAACACTCATATCTCACTTTTCCAGAAATACCTTCTAAATGTATCTTCCCTTGTAGCTCCTCCTATCTTTGTCTTAGTTCCAATCCTCATCCTGTACATATATTGCCAGCCTCCCCCTTCTCCAGTCTATCCTGTTGCCATAGTTACACAGAGACGGACAACATGCTATGTTATACTTAGACTATTCTTTAGCATCTAACATGCCTTCCTGTGATTTTATTCATTCAAAAAATATGTACTGAAGGGAGCCTTCAATATAATAAACATTTAACTAGATGCCTTATGTTACATCATTTAATATTTAATATAGTTAAGTAGTCAATGACTATTTTATAGCTGAGAAAAATGAGGTTCTGGTTAAGTAAAATGCCCAGATCATAAAGCTAAAAAGTAACCAAGAAAGGATTCGAACACAAGCCTCTCTAATACACTGGCTATTAAAACATATGGTATCCAACTCAGTACCAAAAAAATAATGAATGCTAGATAAATTATTATTAAAGATGTAGAATTATTCAGGAAACTACCATACTTCTATGTTAATGAAAGACAAAACAGAAACTTTAATAGGACATGACAGCTATCTTTAGATCAAAGAGGAATCTCACTTCTCAAAGTTTCAGTGGGCAATCTTACGATGTAATAATTTTAGCAATTCAAAAGAAAAATGAGCAGCCTGATCATTGCCATAATTGCTATAACTACTTATTAGTCACTACGAGAGCAATGAGAATACTGCAGATAAGGATAAAAATCATTTTATCATCTCAAAATTTTATAGATAATGAAGCTTAACAGACACTGGAAATAATTCCTAATCTAGAACTTCAACTGTCCTTAGATATACTTGTAAGGTACAAACTTTAGCTGAAAAGGAGTTAAAAGCTTTGCTTTAATTACTGAAATCATGCATAAGTACTCAGTTATTAACTATACAAAATCATGAGCAATAACTTACATTTGGTTTCATAAAACTGCTTTAGTCTAATAGCTCATCTCTTTTATTATCTGGGAAGCATGGAAGTCCCAAATCAATAATATAAGTGATACACAAAGAATGAAAAAAATACAAGAAAGGGTAAGATTATCTTCCTTTGAACTTCTGTATATTTCCAGTTGTATAATGAAGACTAGTCTGGCAACTTTCAACTAGAAATGTTAAGTCTAATGCCAAATAGTACAATATATGCTCAATTACCATGACACAGTAAAGTAACTTGAGGATTTTTTTTTTCCAGTATTGGGATAAATCAGGGCCATTAGGCTATCTCCCCAATCCTGTTGTTTTTATTGTTTGTTTGTCTGTTTTGAGACAGAGACTACACCCCAAATTTTCCCAAGCTGGGCTTGTACTTGCCATCCTCCTGCCTCAGATTCCCAAAGTGCTAGGATGACTCTCCTGCCTAAACTTGAAGATTTATACTAGATGCTGCAATATAAAGTTTATCAGAAACCCTCAAAATACTAGACTTAACTTGCAGTACAGTGAAGAAACTATTTTATATCACTAAGCAATGTTTATTAAATCAATGAATGAAATAATGGATGGCAATCTTAAGATTCAAAGTTTTGATCTCTGCAAAATGTGATGTAGGAAGTGATTTTTTTTAAAGGGGTTGGGGAGGGAGGTAGTGAACCCAGAAAGGCATTGTCTTCCCTTCAACAGAAAACTGTTAAACTTTTATTAGGTTAAACCTTTAAAATTATGAAGATTCAACTGTTTTGTCACACAAAAAGAACAATTTTTATATATTTGTATTTGATTCATTGCAATTAAAAACATAGTTCACAACAGATCTTATCAGAGATAAAAATGAATAAGTAGTACTTTTTAATTTGATATAAACTGGGCCCATAAAAAACATGCCATACTATACTACATCAGAATCTATGTTTTCTCCATTCAGATAACTAAATATTATGTTTCCATTATACTTTAAAAACATTCTTAATAAGGTTTCAAGAATAATATCAGCAGTGCTAAAATGTAAGGACTACCAAAATGGGTAAGGTTTCAGTTCAATTCAGAGTGCAGTACAAAAAAGTGCTCAGGATATTTAGGTGAAAAACTGGATGAAGATCCCTGTTTAAATTACAAGTGTTGAATAAAATAATAAAATAATAGTGCAAACTATTCTACAGAACTTTATGTACATTATAACTCTGTAAGAATTCCAGAGCCTATGTTCTTACTCAGTTTGCTATAATATCACTAGATTTTCAGATAATTAAAATATAACCTACTTCCAGAGTTCTTGAAAAAAAGCAGTAAAGTACTATTATTATTACTCCTTATTTCAAGGAAAGGTGATTGATACTCTTAAAATAAACAGCAAGACCTTCATAGGTCATAGCATACTGGAGCTAACCACAAATGGAAGATTATCAGAATTCTTTAATTATTTATTATCCTCGAGGTGTTTCATAGGAGACCTTTACCTCGTCTGAGAGCCTAGGAATGAAATACACTCGTGTAGCATTTGCCTTCTTTAAATCACTGAAAAGTTACTCGTTACCACTTTTCACTTCATAACACTATCTGAAATATTTTAGGCTCAATCATGCAATAATACATAAAACTCAATACCTCTCCTAATGTTTAATTCCAACTCAATTCATATATATTAGAAGGGAAAAAAAGGCAAGTCAAAACAAGATCTTTCATTTCTGAAATCTTGTTCTTCATCAGTGGGATTAACTACAATTTAAAAACACTTGGCAGTGTTGCTGCCAATGCTAGTTTTTCCTCTTTCCTTTGTTTTTAGGCAAACGCTGTTCTTATGCTGGATAAAATGGGTAAAGAGAAAGAAAACAAGTGAAAGAACTGGGAACAAAGCAAATATCTGGAGTCATGTTACAACACAAGGATAAACCCGAAGACAAGGAATCGATGCTGGCTCTTCCTAAACAGACCTCGTGAAGAAACCATTAAGTCCGTCTGGTAATCAATCTATTGTCCCGGTTCTAAAGCTGGCCAGTGACACTTCTAAGAGATGCTCTGGCATCGCTCCCATAGAAGATGCTGCAAAAATGGAAAACAGTTACCAAGGGAAGCTGGCCAAGGAGTGTCAGGAGCTCGCTCAGGGCGGAGGTCCTATTCCCGGGGAACAGCAAAGACCGGCGGCGGGGAGGCCGTGGACATTACCGGAGAGGCCAGTTTTCAAGGAAAATAAAATCTGGCCGGAGTCGGCAATTACCCAAAAAAAACCCAGGAGTCAGGAAAGAGGAGGAAAAGGTAGGACAGGGCGTGCAGGCACGACCCAGAGGCAGCGTAGGCTGGAGAAGCCAGCGGAAGACGGTCTGACGGGGAGCCGCCAGGCAGTCGCTCGCCCCGCCGCGCCGGGGGCTGT